TCTGAGACAGCCAATGTTAAAGCCACAATTGGTCACACTTCAGATAACAACTCAAAAGGCAGAAAACCTTTGTCAATAGAGAAATGTGTGCGTGTTGTCTGAGCTCTTGATTTGATTAAAGTAAGCTGGCAGTGGCTCATTCTCATCAAGTTTCACAGAAAGAAAAGAATTAGCAAAAATACTGTTTTTTAGTCTCTTTCACATGGAAGGAAATGAAAATAGAATTGTAAAGGAAAGAGTAGCAGCACTTTCCAACTAAATTAAAGAGAATTAGCATGATCTGGAAGGAACACTGCATCTGCAGAGAGGCCAGGCAACCTCATGTCTTTCTCTGTATTTTGGTGACTACTCAGCCTGTGAAATGCTGCTCACTACACTAAAGCAGACGTTTAAAAAAGCAACAAGTCAAAAAAGTCTTAATAAACAAAATCTGAAGCACAGATTAACAACCATGTTATGCTATACATTTCTATGACACACTTATTTTGAGGACATCTTAGACATTTTTCAACCTAAAAACCTCCTAGATGGTCTTCAGTAATTATAGCTGTGCAAAGGATAGTAATACATCTTAAAAATACATATTTAAGTTCAGGGGTCTGGAAAATTCCAGAAATTTTAGTTTGGCTGATGATCATGAAGCTTATTTAAGTGGACATGTTTTGTCTTTTAAGGTGAGCGGACACCTCATTTCCACTGAGGTCCTTACTTTTACAGGACTATGAATTCAAATGCCTTCAACTCACTGAGCCCCCACACTGGGTTTCCTACTGGCTTAATGAAGTAATGGCCAATATGAACTATAGAAAAAAAATTCAATCAGTGATTAAAATACGATTCAGCTAAAAGTCTGAAGAGTGCTTCATTCCCTGCCTCTGTGAAATGATAGGCAATGGGGGCGGGCTTGAGGGCTTAAGAGAAGGATAACCACTCTGGTTTACAGAGCCCATGTAGATAGATGGGATGGACAATTATTTCTTTTATGTGTGTTTTAAGCTAATTCAGAAAATTTCTACTATTATTCAAGTTAACAAGCTGCAGGCTCATGGGAGGGTTTCAAAGACCTGGTGAGAGTAGCTGAGGGTTAAGAAACGATAGAGCGAAAAGAGAGGGTACCATACAGATGGCTAATTAACATCTTGTAAGACCTTTCACTAAAGCAGCTGGTCTAGTTACATGTTTAAAAGATTGAGAGAATTTTTAGAATTGAAAGGGTTTTTAGAGAGCATCTAGCTCAACCCCCTCATTTTATGGATGGAAAAACTGAGACCCAGTTAATTGCCCCAGGTTGCAGAAGGTTCACTGCAGAACCAGCCTGACAATCCATTGTGTTCTGCCACCCATCCAAAGGTGCTAAATTTGCTCTGATGACAAATTAAAAGAGTTTCTCCAGTAGACTAGTATCCGACAACATCTCTATTTTCTTGTTTTATCATGCAAAATATCTAGGAAACAGTTTGATTCAGGGAGATATTTAGTAATAATACTTCTTCATAGTTGTTATATCATTTTATTATAAATTTCAGACATTTTTAATATAGCAACTTTAATCACCATAACTTATTTAGGTTTTTTATTTAATTATGCTGCTTTTAAAAAATAACTACTCTTACAATATCCCAGATATTTTGGGGTGAGTCCTTTTTCTGTGGTTCAAAACATGGATTATGCCTCACTTCTACTATTTCTATTCCTTTTACAAAGCAATTCTTCCTAACCCTCCTGAACTAAGTATTTGATTAACATATTCATGAGACAACTGACTCAGCTATGCTAATTAGAAACTCTACTATCAAAAACAAATTCCCAGAACTGGCCAACAGGGGGAGCAGTTAGCTCTGTCACTATCATGTTCTGGCTGTATGTCTACAGCTTATGAACATGCTAAGGTAAACAGTGTACAAAAAAAGTTTATAATATAGAAAAACATTTAAGCAAGTCCTTAAACTCAGAGGTTCATATTTAGAACATAAGAAACCTGAGAATTCTGTTGGGTTGCGGGGATAGGAGGCCTACCAAAGGAAGCATTTCCTTGTACTTCACCCAGGTCTAAACACATATACACACATACATGGTTTATAATTTAAAACCTGGTTTATAGACTGTATAGTAGCCTGATAATTTGCAAATAATAGAAAATTTAAAGTATAAAACCAAAAAATAAACTCAGAGATATTTCTCAAATCCAATGACTATCAAACATGCCAGGAGCTGACACCAGAACACTGGCATGGTGTCAATGAAGGTAGAATGATGGAAAACTAGGGCAATGGGATGATTTCTAGAAACAGAAGGTTAATTACCTATAAGCCTTATTTTTATTGAAACATATATTATTTTTTAAAAGAATAATTTTTCTTGCCTTAGAAAGGAGGATTATCTTATAGACATAGATAGATTTTGATGATATAGGAAGTTGTCTTAGCTCAGGGTTACCACTTGGAATTACACCATAGGTTAAACATCACTACAGATTCTCCATTGAAGTTGTCTCATCTAATATGTTTCTGTGTGTCCTTTGGCTATTTCCTCATTACAGCTTTGTGCAACTTTTGCCCTATGTTGGTTCCCCATCTGCCATCTTGTTAATCTGCCCAACTTCCTCTCCCATTCACATTACAGACCCAGGGTTTGGCTTTTATAATAGTTCAGACAATTCTTTGACCAAAAGCACCCACTCTTGGATTTCTGACCGTCAAGACATACCTATAGCACTGAACTCAACATCCTTAGAACTTTACCCTTGAGAAGTGTTGGCAAGTCCTAACAGCCAGTCTTAAAAAATCAGTCAGTCAATCCACGTAGCACCCATGAGAGGATTTTGGTTTGCTGGGTGCCAGTCAGGTTTTACCATTTAAAATTATTTTATCATCTCAAAAAATCTAACTTCCAGAAAATGTGTGAAGTATTCTAGCTCTGTTCTGATCTCCAAACCAAACACATTTCTGCAACGACCCTGTCAAAAAATTTAAACAATGCTCATTAAATTTATTGGATATGCCATATTTTAACTAGAAATCAGAAAAAAACAAACTGAAGTTTCATAATAATTTCTCTTAAAAAGTTCTAAAACTGATAAAGGCACAATTTTAACATATTTGTTAACTGTGAAGCATGGTAAGAAAGGGCAAGAGAAACCGTTTTTCTGTCCTTTTTAAAAACATATGCTAACGCTTACTGATAAAGTTTCTCTGTATGGCTTTCCAAAAAAAAACCCTACACATTGGAATCATAGGAGTAGTGCTATAAAACTATGGAGATGGGGGAAGAATAGCTAAGCCAGCAGGCCCATAGGCTAGGGCTCCAGAGACATGTCTAACAAGAAATGGAGTGACTTGGAGAAGGTGTCCTTGGAACTTAGAAACAACTTTATCTCTATTGAACCATGCTGCCAAGAGGAGAGCCATTTCTAAAGAGCACGATTTTTGTTTCCTTCTGAATTCCATTATGAAGCCTCCAACTGGTAATTTTTAAATCTCAAGTTTTTCAAAGATGACCATCTAATTATCTAAGTTTGCTCCCCAGAATAAAAGGGAACGTTTAGGTTATTAGCTTGAATGAGAAATGCAAGTACATACCATTTTCCCCAACATAATTTAACAATAGTTTCATGATTGAGAGACAGAAGTGGTCTAATAGTGTATTCTGTCAATAACACCCATTTTCAAATGGGTGTTATTAAGATATTTCCACACAGCCTATGTGTAGGGAGGCTGGAGTGATAAGGAGGATATATAAATTTACTACCATCCACACAGGGAAAGGAAATAGAACTAATAAAAAGCACACTTTTGTATGCTTGAGAAAATGAGTAGGGTCACTGGTACATACTAAAATACACAGACAGTATTTTAGTTCAACTACATTATAGATTAAATGTGCTATTGTGGTCTAGCCTGGAAATTTAACTAACACTTATTAAATCAGTTATAAGTTTCAAATAACGAATCTCAAAGCCAACATTTGAAATACAACCTGTTCTATAGCTGGGGACTGTCTTATCAGCTATATCAAATCTAATTTAGTCTAACTTCTCACCATGGTAACGAGCCCTTTGCAGAAATACTCAAAGACATTTCACATCCAGAAAATTTGCCTTGTACTTCTTCACCACACATAATGTCAAGAAAAGCATGCTTCAAAGGTACTATGTAATTAGAATGGCCTTTAAAACAGGCACAAAGGAAATCATTCCTATTAAAATTAAATCTACTTCACAACAATCTTCATACTGAGTGAGCAGCACCAAAGAAAAGAATCCTGAGGTGTTTTGGACCTCATATTCTATTTTTAAAAGTCTGTTTTCTATAACGTTGCTTCAGATCAGATTGAAGTACCTCTCATTTGGCTCATATTGGATATTTTTTCACTATTAAAGGAAAGTGTGCCTGTGAGAAGCCACGTCTGGCACAAGGGATTAGAACGGGCTCTGTTGTGGCTTTCCATGGAAAGAGTGTGCCAGATCCCTGCTAATAATGAAGCTGGGGAGGAAGCCTAGCTTAATGAAGACCATAGTATGGTAACCACCTCTTGGTTGCTACTGCATGGACACTCAGGAGCTGAGCTTTAATCCTGTGTTCTGCAGAACTTCTAGAATCCTACCTGTCTTTGAGGATCCATTTAATTTGAAGACCAGCATCTGTAGACTCTCTAAGCCCACTCTGACAGTTTTCAGATGCCTGCTTTTTATTAGGAAGTTCTTTTTTTAATAAGTGACTTGCGTCAACACTATGCTGTGTTTACCCAAGAAAATAAAGCATTTAAATTAAAGAAATCTATTTTTTGGTTTCTTGTGACTGTATTTCCACAATGACTACTATACAGATTCATGTGCATCCAAAATGATTCTAGCAATAAAGCTGCAGGGCTTACTTGCACCTGGAAGCCAACAAAAAGAACATCTTGAGATAAAACTTAAGCACCAAGGGAACAGAGGAGCTCTGAAAAAGCAATCATACAAATTGAACTGTCAGCTCTTAAGTGTGACTTGAATAACATACCATCAAACTTCTTGTAACGGGAAGCAAAGACGGCTTGCAAATGATTGCACTGTTCGCTGACCACACTTTTGAAATCATCTTTACTTTGCAGGCTGTACTTCTCCTCCATCTCTTGAGAGCAGCAGGTATAACCCTGGGGACAGATCTTCAAATGATCACCTGGAAGATCAAAAGTAGGACAGTCAAGTCTCTATCATCATCCATCAAGTCCAAGAGGGAAGGGTTTGATTTAGGTGCATTCACACTGCTGCTTTTCAGTCTGTGAGGTTTCTGCAGAAGCCTAGACATCATGTGTATTGAAAAAATCTCATGATGCCTAAAAGCATTTATTTCCTTCTTGAAAACAATATAATAAAACTCACTCCAAAAGACACAAGAGCCTTCCAATCAGGGAGACAGATAAACCACAGACCACTCAGTGTGACCAATAAAAGGAACAGCATTCATTATCAATCAAAGTCTCTTTTATGTATTTGCTGAGATTTTATGAAAAATACTGTATAAATACAAAAATGAGACATGGTTTTTCTGGATTTTGGAGTTTATGTTCCAAAAGAGACAATATGTGATAATAGCCAAAGACTGAGCAAATATATGAGCACAAGTTAAAATGGGGAAGCAAAGGGATTTGTACATTTCAAGGAGTTGTCAGCACAGAGGAAACTATGGGAGTTTGAGCAGGATAATCTGAGTCTATGATAAATCACAAAGAGGTGATAGTAAATGGCCCTTGATTTTAAGATTTTCTGCCCAGCATCTGTACAAATATTAAAGACTATCTTACAATTCTGTATGGTGTAGCCACCCATCCCAATATAGACTAGTAGGTTCTAATAAATGTAAATCTTTCTATACTGATGCAGCCCTAAAAGTCAAGGAAAATGTCAAAGACACATCACCTCACAGCAGCCCAAGCCATGAAGTACCTCCCTCCTTTACATCAGCTGCATTATGCTTGTAGTTTGTAGCTAAAGGTTTGGACAGGTTCTTTCTATATGCCCCAGAGTTCCCTCACTGATCCTCCTCTGTCACAAAACAAAAATTGTGTTTTGAAGAGACAATGAGTCTCTCCTCACAGTAACTAAAAGATACAGTACTAATCAAAAATCAGCCCCAACAGCTGGACGTGGTGTGGTAGTGCATGCCTGTAGTCCTGGATACTTGGAGGCTAAGGTAGGAGGATCACAAGTTTGAGGCTAGCCTCAGCAACTTGGAAAGACCCTGTCTCAAAACTTAAAAATAAATAAATAAAGAGGGTTGGGGTGTGGCTCAGTGGTAGAGTTCCCCAGGTTCAATCTCCAGTACCACAAAATTAAAATAAAATAAACAACACTAATTGGCATAGTATAATTTTGTACATGTTTACAAAGATTCACTTTGACCATGCCTTCTGCTATTGCTACCCATATTCCATGTAAGACAAAAGCGTTTTGAAAAGAACCAAGATCTTAGAAATGTTAAGCCAGGTACAGTATTGCATGTCTGTCGTCCCAACTACTTGGAGACAAAGGCAGAAGGGTCACTTGAGCCCAGGACTTTGTGGCCAGCCTAGGAAATGTAGCAAGACTCCACCTAAAGAAAATCTCAATAATGAGTTTACTGAAGACATATAAACCTGTCAATGGTAAGTGTGCTTAATAAATAAAGGGTTACAGAATGAAGAGCATATCTTTCAAACAACACTGACCATGTGGAACAAAATGGGACAAAAAATGCCCATTACTGCCACTTGGCTGTGTGTACTTACAGGAATTGGGCCTTCACCTAACATAGATGCCAAAGGAGCTCTGCGTCTGGGTGAGGGTATATCAGGAAAGATTAATTTGGCAACTTATTATAAGCAGATTACCAACAGCACATATGCAAATAATTATAAAATCATATGTGTTCCACATCATTCTTATTTCTAACACAATAAGGGCAGGAGGAGAACAGAAGTGCAATAAATTAGATAATAGGGAATGAGGAACAGAGGAGGACAGGAAAAGGAAAGATAGTGGAATGAATCCAACAGTTTCCCCATGTACATATATGAAAACACAATGAATCCTGTACATCCATAATAATGGGGTCCTAACTAGAATAAAATATATTCCATGCTTGGATAATTATATCAAAATGGACTCTGCTGTCATGTATAACTAAAAAGAATGAATAAATTTAATTTTTTAAGTAGGGAAAATATTACTTCTAGAAACAATGAGTATTCAATATTAAAGGTTAATATTTGAATAAGTTCCCTATCCAGAAACTTCTAAGTTTCTTTTGGCATTTCTGAAAACCTTGATCAACAGCTAATTCAACTAACTCTCCACCCCCACAAAAAATTATATATATGAAAAAGGTACTGTTTAGAGCTATGAAGTTACAGAATATCTCAGAACTCCTTGGTAAAAGACCGGTTACTAAAGCTCGGTTACTAAAGCTCGTTTTTATGGACACACCTTTGTTACAACCAAAACAAAAGTCCCTCCTCTCTGGCTTAACAACTTTGCAGTAGGACTTTAGCCCAGGCCACATAATTAACAGGGAAATACCCAGTTGTCTCTTGGTTTCAGGGTTAAGAATTTCCACCATTAGTTAGTCTTAACACATAAAACAATATCAAGGACTCCAAGCATATAGTGCTGTAGCTGTATTAAATAATAAATATCACACTCATATCCCACATAGAAAGTTAAACAGAATGCTCAGAATGAGAACTTAGCAATTAAAGTAAATTACTTCACAAAAGGGAGCAGATACTTTCATAAGATTGTTACAGGCAACTGGCTGGGGTTGTGGCTCACTGGCAGAGCACTTGCCTAGCATGTGTGAGGCACTGGATTCGATTCTCAGCACCACATAAAAATAAATAAAATAAAGGTCCATTGACAACTACAAAAATATTTTTAAAAAATGATTGTCACAGGCCAAAATTCATTCTAGTACAGGTTGGTTTTCTATTCCTTGCAAAGTTTACATTCTGAAATGTATTAAATTTCCAAAGCAAAACAATTCATGAGTTTAGAAAGTCATCTATGTTCACCAAATCTTAACAGAGTTCACACATATAATAAAGGATCATTTATTTGAAACTATGAAAATAGGCTTCTAAGTTCAAGGAAAAAGATCTCCCCTCCTAATATGCACGTACATGAGGGCGTGTACACAACCTGAAGTCAGAAAATATTAAACGACATCAGGAAAGAATCATTTTCTTCAGTTTAGTTGTTAAGACATTGAGAGGTTTAAGCCTACCCACAGGAATTTTACACTGAGGATACACCCTTCAAAAATGGGCAAAAGCAATAAAAGTTTTACTGGTAACCTGCTGAAAGCAGACAGCACCGTTTACACTGGCACACATAAAAGGCCCCAGCATGGCCCAGGGCACTCCACCCATCTCATATCCACCAAAGCCTTCAGGAGGACTTTATGGAGACCTGCTTATACTTTAACACTGGAGAGCATCTGTGTTTTGGCAATACCTAACAGAAAACAGTGCACTTTCATCTAAGAGATCTTCCCAGGAAGACTTAGTGTAGTGGTGAAAGGCTTGTCCCATGTAAAGAATGACAACAGGGTAGGTACTTGGCTGCTTCAGCTTGCAAAGTCATCTTCCTCTCAGTACAAAATTCTCACTCCAACTTGCTACTTTTGGCCACAGAGCCTCAAGCGCACCACTTATTCTGTCTGCATTTACTGGAAGCATTACCTGAAAATGTAATTTGCCATTTTTGCCAAAAGCCCTGAGACATATGCAGTTCAAGACACACTTGTGAATTAAATCCCAAGACATACTTAGGCTACTGGGGATTCAGTGCCACAACCAGTTACTGCTGATGAGATATACAAGAAGGAAAAGGGGAAGAGTTATAGTTCATTTGAAAACGGAATTACAGCTCTGCGTTCTGGTAAGAATCTCTGAGAACTGGAGTAACCTGAGTTATTTTAAAACTTGAATATTTCAGGGCTGGGGGTGTAGTTCAGCAGCAGAGCATTTGCCTAGTCTGCATGAAGCCCTGGATTCAACCCCAGCACTGCAAAGATAAAAATAAAAATAAAAAACCTTGAGTATTTCTACTTTAAGCACCCAAAAGGGTTTATTTTGAGAACCAAAATGCACATATTTTTTGAAAGACATTCTATGTGTTTGAGACTGCTTTTGAAGGCAGTGTCTGAATGAAAAATGTTTTTATCTTTCTGGAGATCTCCTTTCTAAACCCAGTGATCCTATGGATGTATTTAAGAAAAATGACACCACTTTTCCTTTAGGCCAAGAGCTGAACACCAGGACAAGGGAATCAATATGGCACAGTCAGACAGGGCTTGCACATTTATTTATTTGTTTATTTATTTAGTTAGTTACTTAATTAGTTAGTTACTTGGTGGGGGGGGGGAATAAAACCCACAGCCTTGTCCATGCTAGGTAAGTGCCCTCCCAATGAGTATTCTCAGTCCATGTGCACTTTTTAGAAGGGACCTAGGTGACCCTGACATACACCTTTCATTAAGAATTTTAGCTGAGGGGCTGGGGTTGTGGCTCAGTGGTAGAGCACTTGCCTCATACATGTGAGGCACTGGGTTTGATCCTCAGCACCACTTAAAAATTTACATAAATATTGTGTCCATCTACAATTTAAATTTTTTTAATTAAAAAAAAAGAATTATAGCTGAGCTGGGCATGGTGGCACATATCTGTAATCCCAGTGACTCAGAAGGCTGAGGCAGGAGGATCATAAGTTCAAAGCCAGCCTCAGCAACTCAGCAAGGCCCTAAGCAATTCAGCAGGACCCTGTCTCTAAATAAAATATTAAAAGGGTGGGGATGTGGTTTCGTGGTTAAGTCCCCTAGGTTCAATCACTAGTAACAAAAAAAAAAAAAAAAAAAAAGCCACACACATACACACACACACCACACACATAGAGAGTTGGGAAGCTTCAGGAATTGAACCACAGAAGAGCTGGGAACAGCAGCTCACCACTGAATCCAGTAACCCAGTGAACAGTTGGTTATGATCTATAACTGTCATTTGTCTCCCCTGTTTCCCTAATTCAGTCTCCTGCTGGATATACATAGTTTATTCTCCATGTAGCTCTTCTAGTCCCTTCTAATTCGCCTGTCTGCTTCCCACTCTTTCTTTACTCACATTGTTCTTTTTTTTTACTCCACCCCAC